TATATATATATATATATATATATATATATATATATATATATATATATTTTACTTTTTCAACAAATTTTGACTTTCTTTTTTGTTTAATATATGTTACGTAAATTTCTTTAAAAAGAAAATACATAACTTTAACAGAAATCAACTGCATCATTGATATTTCTATCTTCTTCATATGTCAAAATATTAACAAGTTTCAAGTTTCAAATTATATATACTGAATTAATTGAATTATTATTGCACTTATCATTAGATAGTGATAATCTTTTTTTTTCAGTTGGTGTAGAAAAAATTAACAAATATAAATCTATTAATCTTTTTGCAATTTAATAAAGTTGGAAAAAGTTATAATAAAAGAATAAAATACATATTTTTAAAAACAGTAATGTTTGGAAAATTGTATATATGTTTAAAATTCTAAGATTAAGTAGACAAGAAAAGTGAAATGAAATTTTACACAATTTCAAACAACAACAAAAGAAGTTATTCCAATAATAACAAAAAAAGATTCATTTGATCTCAATCTTATTTTTACATAAAATATTTTATATTCTTTGTCTAAATATTATTCCGTGATATATTATATTTATAATAATCGTCTCAATTAATTGACATACTTGCAACATTAAATTTTTGCTTCAGAGATATTTGAGACGTCGATGATCTTTCCGAGGACTTGTTTTAAATCGAAACGTTCCGTCACCGGTTTTCCACTAGAGATGAGGTTTCGAAAAGAGCCTTAGTACATAGGTGTGTGCTTGTTTGGCCTGTTCACGACCGATTGACTGTAGCACGAGTATTGCTTGCCATTTTTTAAAGTTGAGGCCGCGCCTCTCTTTCCCACTCCATGTCGCAGTAGTATTCTGCAAGTTTACTCTGCTATATAACAAGGCGACTGAAACCTCTTTATATATGAACTTAGCTGGAGATAATAAGACATGATTAATTAAGTTAAAGTTCAATGTTCATAAAATCATACTTTGATTTATTTCTACGAAAATTAAATTTTAAACGTCTTTTTATTTTATGTAACTAAAAATATTTTCTGAGATACGTAGTTAGTGAAAAATATTAATATTACTTTCATATTATAATTATTTATAGAGCGAGAGATAATAAAATATTTATTTTTAACCTTTAAGTGTCACTGGTATAAGGACACTTAAGATCGGCCAGTTGAAACTTTATAAATATGCTGTTTAGAGTGTTTTTGACAATATTTCATTAAAAAAAAGTTACTAGAATGTTTCATGAACGTCTTAAAAGATTAAGTAAGAACACGTAGTTGAATATCAAAGTAAAATTATAATCATTATAAATACCTATTTACCACATTTCTTCATTTCTTACTTATATTCACATTTCCTATTTACTTGTTTCTATTTCTCATAATATTCGGGTTTATTTGAATAATTACTGTGTTTGTGTTTGTTATCTCTAAACGTCAATTTGTGAAAAATAAGAAATATGAGTATAAAAACGTAACTCATAGATAGCAAGTATTACGCCGTGGTCAAGTTAAAAATACTTATACGCATAACAAAATGAACAAATAACGTAACAACCTGAAAACATATGTTTGTTGTATCACACGAATGCGTGTTAATGCAAACACATACATATATACACGTATTTATTTTATTCTACACACACACACATATATGTGTGTGTAATGTTATATATGTATGTATACACACGCACACACAAACGTATATGTATATAAGATGTTTCAAAATTATCGCACAATATTTAAAAGCATCAATACTTTTTTGTAACTAGACTTTTTTAAAAAAGTCTCAGTTTTAGTTTGAGTTATAAGTTAATGAAAAAAATGGTCTCTTCGCGAACTAAAATTCAGATGCCAAAATGAATATAAAATCTTTTTAGCTAGTTCTAGAGGTAGATTATATTTGAATAAAGCTCTAATTAAAAAATTTAACCCGGTTACAAAGAATATATATTATTAAAAATTAAAGAATGTTATCAACATCGATATTTTCGTATTAGAATTTTCGGCTCTAATTAAGTTACGGAATATGTTATTAAAATACGATAATTATACGATAGTTTTGGAATAGATTGTATATATATGTATGTGTATGTAAAGGAGACCGGGGCTATTTGACCACCGAGGTAAGTTGACAAAAATGATTATAGGACTATCAATTTCTTGGATTTGTTCTTAAAGAAACTAAATGGACACATAGTATGTGATTGGTATCAGAAGCCCACGTTTTTGGGCAGAGTTTTGAATTATTTTTCTAATCATCCTCTGAGCCAAAAGTAGATATGGTGACTCTTACAGATCGAGCCCTTAGACTCTTCCATCCAATGTTTCACAAAAAGAATCTAGTAACGGTCATACGTGTACTTCTTGATAATTGTTGCTCGTTGCAGTTTATCTTCCAAGTTATTGAGAGATGTGTGAGACTACTGGACCAACCACCCAAAAAGTTCGGATGAGAGTTTCTCACAGGATCGAGTTGAAGTATATGAGACATTCTTTACTATCGTATATACAACAAATTTCTTATGATATGTCCAGATTTCTAAAGGACTACAGTCTCAGAGTCTCAGTCTTGCATACAGAATTAGTAAGAAATTTGATAGATTTATTCGATGTCCTAAGGATCTTTTGAGTACTAAGGAGAGGACACATATAGTGTATAAGATCTGTTGCAAGAATTATAATCAGGAGTGCCGATTCGGTTACATTTGCAGCACGCTGACAGCGCGTAGAGGAGATGTACAGGGTGTTCAAAAAGTCCCGGACCGGTGAAATATCTCGAAAACTAAGCATTTTAGAAAAAAATGTTTCAGATAAAAGTTGTGGCGTTTAAAAAGATGTATTTACTGAT